AAATTTTTAAAAAGAAAATGCATATAAATATTTTTTAGATGAAGTTCATGGAGACTTAAAAGATGATTCTTTGGCTGGTGCTCTGTCATAGTAGGTTAAATGTCGCCCCGAGGTGTCAGCATCCCACAAGGGTGCCTATTTATGTCCCCATTGCTTCATTCCAATCAACTCCCTGGTTGTGGCCTGGAAGAGTGGCAGCAGATGGCTCAAATTCTAGGCCTCCTATAACCACATGGGATACCCAGAGGAAGTTCCTGGCTCCTGGCTTCAGGCTGGTTTGACTCCAACCATTGCAGCCATTGAAGGGTCAACCAATGGAAGGAAGATTATTCTGTCTCTGCCTCTCCTCTCTAAGTTTGCCTTTCAAAGAAAAATAAATATTACAAAAATATTATTTTGATGTAAATTTTGATGTATTATTTTGATGTAAAACATTTTGAAATCTATGCATATAAAAGATTTTCAAATAAATACATTTGGAAAATATCTTCAACTTGTGTAGGAAGAGGCTAGTCAGAAATCCAAGTCTGGATATCTATAAATATTGTCTTCTTGAATTATAAATCATGCATAATAAATCCCTCTCTTCCTTTCTTTATTATCTTTGTTATGAAGTGTGCTATTAAAATATCCTTCCATAATTTAAATAATAGTAACATGCGTATATATACATAGACTTTATAAAGAATTGAATATGGTATGATCACAAAATTACTAACGTCTTTTGAATTCATTGATTTAGTTTTACAATTTTCTTCATTATTTTCAATATTCTAACATGAAAAAACCAAAGGTAAAAAAGGAGAATTTTTTTTTTCCTTGTAAATGGCAGGTATCTGATTGTATCTGACATCTCTTAAAATAACTTCTTTTTTTCAAAATAAAAGCTAAGGGCATGGCAAGGAATATTTCAAGTGTAATTAAGTCTTATCTTTTAAGTTAATTACCCATGAGATTAAATTGCAGATTTATTATAGATCACGACCTGTATGATTGGATCTCAAAAAAATAACATCTTTTTTAAGGTCATATGATGGTTAATATTCTAAAACATAACTAACAGTTGTTGGGAAGTAGTGCATCCTTGTCCCATCAACAATACTTTTTTGAGATCCTCAGCCACAGAAATGAAACAGTTCCAGCAGCAGTACAACACAGTGCACCCTTTGAAGTCACAGGTTCTAACCAATAAAATCTTGCATTCTCCTTTACATTTCTGTAATTCATAAAAATTTGCTCAGACATGGCCTGTTCCTTTGATCCATCTGTGTATGTTGAAATAACTCCAGGAATGCATTTTCTGTCAAATTTCATTTACTTTGATTAAACATTACTATAGAAATTTCAGGAACAATAAATATTTTGTTAATATTTTTCCTACATTTTTTCAGTACAGACATATTAAACAATAAGGCATTCTTACGTGTGAAATAGTCAAGTTTTTTGAAATTTCTGTTGTTGTATAATGATGAATAATTTTAGGATAGCTTAACTTAAGAGCAACCTCCAATGACTAATTTTATCCATTCACTGTTACTTTGGGGCTGGGGAACCAAACATTTCTTGCATTGACAAAGTGATAAATACATGGTTATAACTTTTACCTCTGCAAATATAATAAAGCCTTAGCATATTACTTTTCACACAATTGAAAGAAAATAAACGAGCACAAATTTAGACATTTGGGCAAATTTTGTTCATATGTCACCCTTCTGCATCACATGTGATTTGTGGAATGATACACAAGTGTGATTGTTTAAATATATGCCCTGTGGTCACGACAAGAAACCGACTCTGAGCATGTCACATATAAGCAAGGTATTTTGTGGCAAGTTACTTTTTATTTTAGTTTCCTCCCAGGAATCAAAGTGATAGTGAAATAGCCAGGATATAAAGTGAGTTGAAACATGAAAAACATTTCCAAATTATTTAACACAATATATGTTAGATACGATATCATTAGTAATTATTATTCTTTTCATTAGGTAACTTATTCAACTCCTACTGATACTTCTATTTTTGATCTTGGAAGAATATTCAATTCTTTTAAATACAATGCAAGAGGGCTCTTTCTGATCTATCACTTTTGATGAAACTCAAAATTAACAAATGTCCTTATTAGTTAATGAGTTGTTTTCATCAACTCTCTTTTAGTTTTATTTATCACAATTCATGAACCCAATCTGGAAACAGTAAAACAACAAAACAAAACAAAGAAGCAAACAAACGAACAAAAACCCCAAACTCTAGCAACTGAAATACTAATTCTGCTTTAAAATTGTTTACGGCCTAGCATCAGTTAGAATATTTTTAGATGTAAGAAGTAAATACTATTTTAAGTACTATCTTCTTTCATAACTAATATGCAGATGTTCAGAGCAAAAAGAAAAAAATAGAACATATAGAAGGAAAAATAATTTTAGAAATGTATAAAAGTGTTATGTTTAGCAAATACATTTTAGGAAAACAAGGAGAATATATATGATGATCAGCTCTGAATATTTTTTGGTAGGATGGAAGGAGGGCAAGAGGGTTACATAACTTCAGAGGTTGTAGGTTGTTATATAACCAAAATACATGAGGGAAGTTTCATAAATCTATTTGCTCAGAAATAATCAACAACACAATTTCTTTGCATCAGTGAATTAGCATGGTGAAAATAGCTTTTGGATTTATTTGTCATTTCAAGGTGTCTATTGTTTCCACCCAATGGCTTTAATTTCTGTTAATTTCTATTCCTAAAGGAATTTCATATCCCCCACACCCGAAAATGTAGATTCCTGAATCATTGCTTGCAGTGACATCGGACGTGCTGTCTTTATTACAAAAGTGCTTTTGCAGGTGCAAAAGCCACAGGAATTTAGGCTTCCTGGGGTTTAATATGATGAAAATTGTGTGAGTGCTACTGCCAAAAGTCTCCCAGTTCTATGAAATTAGTAATAATTAGGAGAGAATGACGGCTCCCCAACAGCCATCTGATTCTTAGAGGAAGTTCCCTGTAAGCTGCAGTAAATCCCTGTATCTTTCATGGCTATTATTGAGAGGGCCCCATTGCTGCCCTCTGGTTACAGAGGCTCAGAATTTCAGCAGCTGTCCCTAGCCTGCTCAGCTATTTACTGACTCTGGTTGCTGGCAAGTTATCTGGTCCTTTTTGAGCTCACGTTTTATCTATAAAATGGAGATAATTTTAACACTTCTTTCGTAGGCATATAAACAACTATAAAAAGAAAGGCTACATAAAGAGGAAAATACACCCACGATAAAAGAAAGTACATTTATGTGAAGGCTATTTGCAAATCTATCTAAAGGTTCATATTTCTTTTATTCTCAGCTTCCTGTTTTGGTTTTTATATTTGGCTGTGCTGCATTACATGTGAAAATAGAGCAAATAAAGGCTTCAGAATTAACATTTAAATTTGTGAAATGGGGCCAGCATTGTGGCACAGATTAAGCTGCCTTTTGAGAAACTGGCAGCCCGTATCACATCACCACTTCAAGTCACAGATGCTCTGCTTCCAATCCAGTTGCCTGCTAACATGCTTGGGAAAACAGCAGAAGATGACCCAGTGACTTAGGTCCCTGCCATTCGTGTAGCCGATGGAGATGGATTTGCATGTCCCATAACAGCCTTGGGCCTGGCCTATCCCCTATTATTGGTGCCATTTAGGAGTGAGTCAGCAGATGAAACATCTCTGTTACTCACCTTTCTCTGTGTCGTGTGCTTCTCAAGCAAATAAAATAAATCTAAAAAGAGTAGTAGCATTGATCAGGAAAAAATTCATTAAAAAAAAAGCTTTGCGTTTGCTTGGAAATACAGCGCTAAATTGAAATCAAGAGTGAAAATAAAATCTACAAAGACAGAAACTGAGACGTCCTCCAATGCCCGATAGGACCTATACCGTCCTTGTTACTGCCTATCGTGGCAGTTTATGTGAGTAACTGGTTCAGCAAGGTCTTAGCGTAAATCAGTCTATGATATGCATATGTGTGAATTCTTTAGCAAAAAATAAGCCCCTAACGAGGAAGAACACAAACTGAGTGTGAACATAAAACCATATAAATGCAATTTTATCTGATTAGAAAAACACGCTCACAGTGTGTGGAACTGTATTTTTATATCATTTTAAAGACTAGCATAAAATGAACATGGCACTAAGTACAGCTGTTTAACATTAATCTTATAAAGGTATAACATTGAAAAATATTTTTCACCTATTTAATATTGAAGTTGAACTTATGTGAATACAGTAGTTTTTCTTCTAGTACAGAAACTACACTCACTAAAGGACAATCTGACATTGCAAATATTTGTAAACTTTACTTTTTCTTCTAAATCAGAAAATACACTGTCTTTGATCAAATTATGAGTTTAAATATTGTATGGCATATCATGAAACTGATAAAATAGAGGGATTTGCACAAGTATAATGCAGCAAATTTCATGATTTTCATGTAATTAGCTATCAGAATAGAATTTACATTAAATATATTGTTTAAAATATGGAGATATGTTTTATTGCTTTCCTTTTTTAACACTTTTCCCATTTTATCAATAAATATTCTTTTAGAATGAGGTAAGGATCAAATCCAGGCCACCCTGTCTGGAAACCCTATCATCAGAACTCCTGTCTTCTCTCCCAATTTCTCATTCCCTCTCTGTTTCCAGCCTCTGAGGGATTGCGCTCCCCACCAAAACAATTTTTGAGCATTTGAAACCCATTACTGAAACACAGCCCATCTTCGTGAAGTCCAATAAAGTAAAAAGCCAGAAAGTACACGGATATTTTGTGACATAGTGTTTTAGAAGCTGACACTATCACTTAGGCTTCCCATCTTGAGTTGTGTAGGGTAGCCTCCTTTAAGCTGACTATGCATTGCTGTCTGCTTAAAGTGCTCCCAAAGTTTAGAAATTCTCATCTTTCCTTTCCGTGTATAAACTAGATGCCAGTTGCTAAGTTACAGATAAAATTCAATGCAAGAAGAGGCAGTATGGTACTTACCCTTGTATTGTTTCTTTCAGCTTTAAGTTCAGAAATTTCTTCTTCCTTTTCAAGAAGTTGTTCCCTGCAGGCATTCAACTCTTTTGTCAGTGCAGCAAATTCCTGGAAGAGCAATAGAAATATTTGAAGATATGTTGAAGATAGGACAAATCACTTCAAGTAGGAAGAACAAAATGTAAAAGCTGCACTGCTGGATGAAAAGCACAATGAGAACAATATCGTCATTATCAAATTATTCTGAGTTTTTGAAAAGAAGGCTGATCCATGGTACTTATCATTGCATTTTATTATAATATGCTGCCTTTACGGAAATAAAAATGGTAAAAATGAATCAAATACATCATACTGAATTGAACATTAATACCTTATTGCTATTTGGTCTGACTAACTTTGTGAACAGATCCCAGGATACTACACTTTCTGTTCTGCTCAGAATAACAACACAAAATCTTGCTGAAAGTACTACTTGGAGATTAAGAAACTTGCTAACAATATGGGCCTGGTATGGTAGACTAGCAGCTGAAGCCTTTGCCTTGCACATGCTGGGATCCCATATGGGCACCAGTTCTAGCCCCAGCGGCCTCTTTTTACATCCAGCTTCTTGCTTGTGGCATGGGAGGGCAGTCAAGAATGGCCCAAGGCCTTGAGGCCCTGAGCCTGTGTGGGAGACCCAGAGCAGGCTCCTGGTTCTTGGCTTCAGATCAGCGCAGCTCTGGCTATTGTGGCATTTCTATCAGTAACAAACAGAACTCATCCTCATGGTGCTACATGAACCAGTGTTAGCTTCTTGAGGACACTACCAAGTTGGAGATGAGCTCTCTCAGACCAGCTGCTGACAAAGCCAGCCTTCCTCATCTGTTCCACAGATTTCTCTTTCCCTTTTCCAGCTTTCTATCTTCTCATTTCCACTTTTTCTATATATTTCAGATCACACCACTTCTAAAGCATCAACTATTATTGTTAATGTTCTCTAATATCTCACTGCATTGTTTTATGACAAAGAACTTTGTGTTTATTTTCTCCAAGCAAAACCATGAACCTTATTTATTTTATACGCTCTGAACTCTGCATAGTTCCTGAAAGAAAATCAGTAGACATTCATTAAGTCCTTGTTAAAGCAATAAATGAATGGCATTCTTCCCTAAACTTTTGACAATAACATCAAAATGTTTAAGTAGTATCATTAGATTTCTTTTTGTGAGTAAATAATTTTAATGTGCATAACATACAGACATTATATCCTTTTTATATCATATCTTCTTTTTTTCGGTCCATATCTAGAACACACTAGACCATATTCTGAAAGCAATGGTATCTTTTTATGCCTTATTTTATTGCCTTTGTGAAGTGATGCAGTGATAATATAAAAAAAAAATGCCAAATCCAAAAAAAAGTATTGAGGACAGGTACCAGGAGGGAGTGCTGCCACCTCTCCCACCTTTTGCCCTCCACTAGCCACTTCCCTGCCAACATGGCTGAGGACCAGACTGGATATTGAGAATAGGGGCTGGAATCTCACCAGCTCCCTTTGCTGCACGCAGTGCTTGCAGGCCTATGTGCTGTTAGGACTAGGAGGGGAGCTGCTGTTTCTCAGAGCTCTGATTTTTTCCTGCTTACAGGTGCTCTTATACTTGAGCTGCTATTGGAAACAAAAGTGGGTGTTTCAAGCCTCCTCCTGCCACTGGGGTTGCCAGTCCAGGACAAACCCTCTCACTGAAGAGTCTGCTGAAGAAGTGTGGGAAGGAACATCTGCCCAGATCTTGGTGTTATCATTTCAATTACTGGAATGATCGCAATGTAGATATCCCTTCACTACTGCTTGTATACACTGCATTAGTCTGGGCCAATAGGCTGTCTCCACTCACACAAATTCCTGAAGACACTGGATTTCTCCAAATCTGTTATGATAGGCATTGCATCAATAACAACAGCTTAAAACCACAGAAGAGCATCTGCTTAGAACCAAACAAATATTGCCTGCTGAAATGACACTCAAGTGGTATGTGAAACAGGAAAGAGATTACAGTAAAGGCCACACAATAAAAGACCATGGAGAAAACTGATCCACAAAAAACACCAATCTCAATATAAAGCAGTGGGTGTTGGCAATTAAAAAAAAGAACAAACTTATATGAGCTCCAATGGAATACAATAACTCTCTGGAAACACACATAAAACAAAAGGACATTGATTAACTATCTGATACAAATCCAACATACAGGTACTCAAAAAGAACACAGATGTTGATTCAAGCCAAATAACATGCATGATATGAATGAGAAAGTTGGCACAGAGCCAGAGGTCTTGGAAGAAAGAAAAAACAACCAAATGAACAGGAAGAACTCAGTAAGTCAAATAAGCTATATAGTTAAAAAGCAGGAAAAAAGAATCTCTGTACTTGAAGATAGGTGGTTTGAAATATTCTAGTGACACAAAAAGAAAGAATAGTAAAAAAGGAGGGTAGCTTGTGGGACCTACAGGCACAATTAAATTTAAAAATTGAATATTGGAAATTGCTTTGAGAAAATCTGTTCAATGTAACAACAGCTGAAAACGTCCCCAATTTGTAGAATAACAGAAATATCGAAGCACACAAGTATCATAGGATCCTTCAAAGAAATGATCTTCAGTGGGACAATTCTAGACAAACTCCCAAAAGCATGCAGAATTCTAAACTTTGCAATAGAATAAGATTTTCCAGCCCAATTCTTCTAAAAATTCAAAGTCAAAACATTTGAGAAACGATTTATATTGTACCATTTTGTGCTTAGAACTTTCATACAAGCATCAGAATATATGATTTTGAATAAAGTTTGCTTTATCACCAAGAATTGGAACTAAGCCTCCTACATTTCTCTATTTAGGAAAATGGATTAATTAAATGCAGCAAATCACACTATGGGATAGTGCAGAAAAGACAGACTGAATAGGTTAAATCTTTATGCAGCAAAATAAAGAAGTCTCAAACAATGATCTTTTAATGAAAAGGGTAAACAGAACAGACCATAGAACAGAAAATCTTATCAATAAGTGAAGGCAGCTTGGGAAAAAAATGTTGAAAGAAACCTTTGCTGATACTTTCCCAGGTCCAGAATAAAGGTCTATGGGAAGGACTATGTTGGCTTTGACACTGAGATTGGAAGGGAACAGGTACTACCTGGAAATGATATCTACTTTTCAGACCAGTCATTCTGTTCCCCAACCACAGTTGGCCAAGTTCTTATTTCTCCCAAGAAGTAAAATAACTTACCGCAGAAATGCATTTCTTTTTCTTGGAATTTTAAAGAGTGGTCAGGGTCTAGAATACACAGTGCCATACAGAAACCTTAAGCTAGACCAAAGGGAGTGATGTCCTTTTCTCAGCTTGCATTCCTGTGCATCACACATATCCACATGAAACACTGTTCTTCAGGATATGAAGATAAGAAAAGGAGCATGGTAAGGACCCTGCTATTGGTATGTTTTAAAGCATTTATATATTTATTACTCATATTTGGTTTGCTCTGAAGTCAATTTTTTAATCATATCAGTCTTTTTTAGTACAAACTCAAGTCATGCTGTATAGTAGTTGTTCCTTCTAAACATAGAGGGAAATATCTACTCAGTTACTATATTAAAATTTTGAAGATACCATTTCTTCAGTACTAGTACATGATATCTTATTTCTTATTATACCCCCCACTTTTAATTTGCAAGTCTCTCAAATTGCATAAAATTGAAAGTTCCTCTGTTCCAGGTAAGTTCCTACCATTTTTTCTTTCTTCATTCCCACACCCCTTCCTCTTCTAAACTGTTGTTTTCTGAGTACTTATTTTACACCAGGGATGTTGCTAGGAACTGGATGTTTGTAACACAACACCATTCGTGCATCGTGACAGAGCTATTACTCCCAGAATGTGTCTTTAATTCAGAATAATGCTAGAATTTCCAGTTTTATTTTTAACTGGACTTCCACGTTATGTTTATTTTCTTTCTTTTCCTCTACTTGCCATCTTGTACTACATTTATATATTAGGAAGTAAAGTTTGTAATGACAAAATGAATGACAATGCTATATAAGAGGAGGGATACAGGGAAAGCAGAGAGAAGGGGAGCAAGAAACCCCTATGCTTCTAAACCGGTATTATGAAAACAAAATCTACTCATTTCACATATTAACAAACTTAAAGAGAAAAAATATTTCAATTATCTTCCTGGGAAATAAGCCACTGGTTGATATGTTTTAAAAAAAAAAAAGACGAGAAAACTAACAGATATAAAAGCAGAGCAATGCTAACTAACAAGGGCCGTTTTAATACGTGGCAATATCAGTGCTGATACATCCTCCCTGTGTGTGGGTCACGTTCCAAAAGAAAGGCAACCCGCCTTTGAGTCTTATTCATGATTTCACCCTTGTACTTGGTAAATGAGCTAAAGATGAAGTTGAGTAATTTGTAATTCATGTATCAGAGCTATTAATATCTCAAATGTTATTCAATGTGCTGTTTCCAATAAGTTTAATATAAAAAAATCCTTGTCATACCTGCATGTTTTATTGCAATAGTGAAAAATGTGGGAGCAAAGGACAGATTCACTCAACTCTTGTGCATATTTAATATTCAAGAAGGGTAACCTGAGAGGGAGGGGAAAGAATGCCTCGACCAAGAACTTGCTCTGTCTGTCCTTCTCTTCAACCCATGATCTCCTCTAACCCGGGAAACTGCCATGGCCTATCAAGCTGTTCATCTTCAGAAAGATGCAGTACGTCGTACTTTCATAATGCTCATCTTTAAGTTCATGTTGTTAATGTTTATTATTCAACAAAGAATGATTAAAAGAGAATGCTAGATTACCTGGCACATTAGAGAAGGGTGCCTTTTTAAGGAGGTTTGCTTGAAAAAAAAAAAAAGGTGTTTTTAAAAAATACTATTAACCAAATGCCCGAAAGGGCTTTACCTGAACTTGAAGCTCAGATTAAGAGGAGGTACATGGCAAACTTCAGCCTTTCAATTTCAAGTCAATAACATCATGCAGTCTCCAGAAGAATTTGTGATAATCCACTCACCTTCATTATGACTCTAACATTCTTCACAATTCAGTTGAACCTGCAATCTCTAATTGTG